GAGGACAATCCTAAATTCCTGAAGTCTGGTGATGCTGGAATCGTCGAACTTATCCCTACCAAGCCCCTCTGCGTTGAATCCTTCACTGACTATGCACCTCTCGGACGTTTTGCTGTACGTGATATGAGACAAACTGTTGCTGTTGGAGTCATCAAATCCGTTGATAAGACCGAAGCCGCTGGAGGAAAGGTCACGAAGGCTGCACAGAAGGCAGGAGTTGGAGCCAAGAAGAAGTAAACCCGTGTGATTGTTTGGTTTTTTGTTGTCCCATTCCATAAGGGTAAAGTTGTTGGTTTAATGCAAGTTTTGTTCCGGAATAATATTTTTGAAATGTTACGCCTTTTTACGTGTTGTGTTTCTTTAAATATAATAGGATTTGCGGAGGGCTGTGTGGGCAGAAGAAGTGTATTTAGGCTTGTCAGTCAATGTGAAATATAAATATTACTGTTATATAGTTATGACGTAGAGATTGATTTCCAAGTCGGTATTACAGCTTATACATGAAGCAGATTTGGTCAGGGGAATGGAACATAATAATCACGGTCGAAGGTGGAAGTGGGAAGCAAATACACGAGATAAGTGGTTTTGAGAAAGAGGGTGCGTTATTGCGACGGACCACAATTGCTTACCTTCATTAGTGGCGACTAATTTATATTTTCCTCATGGAAAAGGATATTGATGCAGTTAGAGCCGAATTTGGGGACATGAGGATAGCTTCGTTCCGTCAGCAAGGAAAGTTCAAGTACTGGGCGTGTTGGTCGCTGAGCTGATGATTCAGTGGCGGTACTTGCTCACTAGCTTTGTTTTTACCAGGAGAAATCGGCATTTACTAAGCCAATGTTGGGACGGAATTTCAACAACTCTATGCTTTTTATACTCTCAATCACAAAAGTGATGCACGTATTTTTCGATTTGCTTCCCGTCAATTGGTCTTCTTTTGATCTTTTTGCTTGTCGATTTGTTTGTTTAACTAACTTAACTTATTTAATGCACCGAAGTAATGGAAATGCGCCAATTACGGGTAGACAACCCTTAGAATAGCGTTTTTTAAAGGTTCGGTAACCAGATGCCTAACGCTCCCTTATCGACAGTGTTTATATTTCCACCATAATGTAGCTCACATTGAAGGAGGTAATCAATAAAGACCGAACACGCGATCTAGTACTAGCAGTGAATGTATCTTTAACAGCAAGTACCTCAAAAAGTTATTTAGCAGAGGCAATTACTTGATTGATGTCTTATCATTCACTAATGTTTGTTTTCGCCTCCTTATCTACGAGCTGTCTAGGTAGCTCTTTGGATCGGGGTTTCGGCAATAATTGATGATCCAAGAAGGAATCAGTATGTGTAGGAGGGAAGGCAAAGAAAATTAGCTGGACTTCGAGTTCAAATGTGAGTAAGCATCAAATTGATCATGAATTTGTGGTGGTTTCCTGGCAGAAACGGTTATCAATGATATCGATTAACCCCTTTTATCGCGGACAGTTCATAGTACGGCATAGTCTTGTTACAAAAGGGATTCTTTCCCAAAACTGGCATTTTAGACACACTAATCAAAGTGATAGCTCAGAGGCGGTTCGGCACCTCACAAATACGATTTCTGACTGTGAGGCCACATTCTGTTCTGCACGTCATGAAGGCGGGGGTGGTGAACGGGAAGTGGTGCACTATCACATACGCACGGTCCGGGAAAGAATCCTCTATAGTCTCCCAGACCAGCTAAGCCTTCCCTTTCTCCGCGGTCGGTTAAGTGGGACAAGACCCGTCTGAAAGGATGAAAGCCCTGATTTAGAAATTACTGGTCACCGTCTGGTGTGTATGAGCTGGATTTAGTGGCCATTTGAGGGCTTAGAGACTTTATATACAGCTTTAGTAAAGCATATGTATATATCTAAATCCATAGCCTCTACCCTAAATTGTAAGTGCGGAAAGAACTGTTGCACTTAGACCAAGAAATTTCGTATATGCTTTCGAAAAACAAAAAATCTGTTTTTTAGGCCTCGTCGCAGGTTTTTCAGGCTTCCATTTTTTTCTTCTTTTTTTCTAAAGATGTATCGTCTGTAAGGGTGAGAAGCAGTCATCCTGTTGGCTGCACGTATAATTCCTATTTCTTTTGCAAAATTGGCTGAATTTAATCCGGTCTCTCATTCATTACTTTACAGTACTATCTTATCGTCTCTGAAAAGGTAAGGACCGGTGACCTGGCCTCTTCCGAGACGATTCTGGATGAAGGAATGAGGGAATGTGGTCTATGCGATGACATGCGGTGGGCAGCCGTTAGAAACTCAATGCTTTTATACTATCAGAAGAAACTGCTATCAGTTAATAGACCCCAGATGGACGGAGGGCTTGAGTGACGTGGGCGGGTATCAATTCAGGGCTGTCCATGCAAGATCACCTCGAAATTACGGGTCGTAAAAAAGCAAGAAAAAAGTGATCGAAAAAAAGGTTGCACTCTTGGCATCGATGGAAGTCATGCCCAAGCACAGTCAGATTTTACCGTCCCGAGAACATGTGATACAGTAATCCATCTTCCTGTACTCTAACATTTCGCGGGCCTCACTCAAAGTACCATTTTGTTGCGTCGTATATGTGATGAAAGTTTGGAGGCGCTTGAATGTGTCTTCGGGTTACTGTAAAGCACATTCATGAGACTTCAGAATTCGTCTCAATCCTAATACACAATTGCCATGGATCGGATCCAACTATCGGCATTCTCGGTGCAATGGCTCCTTGTCTGTATCGTTTGGATTTTGAAAGTGTTGATAGGCAATAGTGAGTACACCTGTGAAAGCTAAGGAAGAAATGTAGGGATTGATGTATAGAAAGAGCTCGGCTCTTTGGATAACAGAGTTTCTGGTTACGAGTTCGATTCCGTCCGATGCCGAACCATAGCCACCCACTTGTGGAAGGAGTCATTTAGCCAACGGTAGTGAAAGATGGTGGCCGGCACAGGAAATTTCAGTGGATCCTCCTCTACTCAGGCAGCTTAAAGGACGCCGTGGTCATTGCTGGGAACCGACACACTCTCATCTCTTAACCAATCAGCGAAACTGATAACCATGTGTACTTTGCTTTTTCATCGCTGAACTGATCTTGCTTAGAGTCAACAAATGGGCCAAGTGAACCTGCTGCCTTAAATCAATCTCAATAAAGTTTGGACAAAATACTTCAAAAACCTCCTTTTGATCTTCACTCCTCATAGGTTTGCATACGGTATCGCATTTGACCTACAGTCGATGATTGCGGCGGACTCCTCACTTTAGCCGGGTAGAAGTGTCGTTGGACCTGTGCGTTTGAGGGTGAGAATTCCAATTGTGGGAACTTCTCAAACCGCCGCTTTCAGGTGATTCTACAGTCCCAAGCCCATTCTTCCGGGTTGCTGCTGGTTACAGGCCATCTTGGTGACAAAGACTAGTTCCAAGTTTTGGCCTAATCGATCTCATCTCTGGGATGCGCCCTTCGACTTTCCTTTGAAATGGTAGTAGCGTTTTCAGTGCGTATGCCACCCTGACTATTACTTTTGGAAGCTAGCCGACGAGCAAGTCGGTGCTTTTATCCCCTTAGCGAGTTTGGTACCAGACTAGTAATACAGGAGGGTGGGGAGGCTTGGTAGGCCTGGGCTAGTATCGATCCGGGATCCGCTCCCCGCACCACATGTATGATAGAGTGTCATTTGCTATCATATCACACCTTCTTTCATGTGACAATTGACAAAAAACTGGATCGTGCATGCCGAAGTCATATTTGCCTTTTCTTGTGGCCTCAATTTGAATGAGACCTACAAGTCCTATTTCGAAATGGCTACCAGTAGTACTGGATTTTAAGACTTTCTACCGAAATCTGTGATGAATTCCGTATCTGGCAAGTTTTAGAATCCAAATGGTAGCCTACTTCGCCTTCTCTAGATGACGGATAAACGCTCACTATAAAATCGGCGATTAATGTCTCACCTTCCGAAAACGTCGAAAAGCATCTAAGATGCATCTGAAGCTCATCGGCCTCAAGTCAACAGAGTTCATTTATGGATTGGGAGTTCGATTGCATCTGTGGGCTCTACTACTAGGCCATGGAAAGCACCACAAGTGTGATTGAAAGTGAGCCTCTGTTTTCTTTCTTACCACCGACAAAAGGAGTGTTGGATTTTGAATGCCCCATGAACTTGTTACTTGAAATTGTTGAGCCTGCAGGTGTTTATTTCAGACTTTCCAGGATGCGCCATAAGTTCAAAACTCCATCAGAGTTAATGAGACTTTTAGGTGCATACCTTGGATTTTAGTATGAACTCCGGATCAAGCCAACCACCAGCTCGCCGCTTCTTTCAAAAACATTGTCATTCAATAAGACAAAGGTGTTGTTTTGCCAAGTGGAGCACTATCATATGCAACATCCGCGGATCGAATCCCGACGTGGACCCGTCCAGCCAACCACGCCTTCAAGTGCTTACCGTGACTGTTTCGCGGTATGTTACTAGAAAAGCTCCTTAACTGTCTGATGGGGTAAGGCAGATGCTCTCGATAAAGAAAATAGATCTCCGCTGCTTCATCTGAACCACTCCACTCAGATGCTCCCACAATCAGTACCTCAGGGATCAGAAAAACTGTCAACTATAGAGGCTGTCAGGTAGGCGCCCTCATTTGGCTTCCTCTAAGGCTCCTAAAGACTCACGATGTTCGAATACCTAGATATCTCACAAGTGCCCTAGAAGTAATGATAAGGATACGGGGTAAACTCCTTCGGCGTCAATCAGCCCCGTCTGAGGGATGCGCCGCGACATTCGATTTCCACCCAAAATCTTAGTGGCGTTTCGAATGCGTATGTGGCCTATTCAATGACGTGAGGTGGCTAACCCATATAAGATCAGTGCTCTACCCTCCCTGACGGGTCAGGCACAAATCAGTAAACCTCGGCTAAGCGAGAACCGATTTGGGACTTGATCCCAGAACCAAATGCGCGTGATGGTGCGCCACTTGCCACCAGACCACCTCTGCACAGCTGAAAAAATCCACCACAAATTGATTTTTGCAGTGTCAAAAGTTAAAAAGAAACTCGTCCAATCGTCCACTTTTTCCGGGAGGAACTAGTAATGAAGACGTAGTTTTTTATGCCACGAGCCGTCTCATCGTCCGATAAGTCAAAAATGACAACCGAGAGTTTTTTTTTCTCGGCGGAAAAAAACCCTATGTCGATTTCTATCGGGGCAATTTCAACATCACCTTTTTACATGATTTGAAAAA